TGTGCCCCTACGACCCTACGACCCACTTCGTAAGTGTGCGAGAGAAAAAAACTCACTACCCTCGTCTTCACTCTCTTTCTACACGAGCCTCACTGCCCCAGTTGCTAATCAGCGGTCTATTCTTTATATGTCTATGCGACAGCGACACACGCAGCAGACACACGACAAAGACTATCGACACACAAGAAATATAGACTGCTCAAGTGGTTAGTGCTCATTCTTATGCACGGTGCTGAAGCACGCGTAAAAAGAGATACAGCACCGAGCGTATAGGTGTATGTCTCTTCCGCACATTGCCAACGGTAAAGAGCATGATATAAAAATACAAGATGTGGCGTTGCGAATCCCTATATTGATTGACCAATCAGGAACGCTTCCATCATGTCGCCATGTCTGTCTGCGAATTTCAAAAGCTTTTAAAATACTAAGCGTATTAATATCAAGAAGCTCGTGAAACAATATATGTTTATTATTTCAATATTTTCATTCCAGTTGTTTCAGTGACTAAACGCACAATTCATCAATATTGACACAGAAAAAACTGACTACATAGATAAACATTCATCAATTGACGTACATGTTGGGGATTTGATGTCGCGATGGAGATTCTCCCAATGCTCAAGGATACCGGAGGTTCAAAGCAGGGTGTGGAATGAACAATTCACTGTATTAGACAACTTACATATTATTTAATACAAACATAGTGCGATAACGAATTCAATGACGAGCGAGATGCGTCGTTGTAGCCAGGCCAGCGTGGAGTGAGTCCGTGCCAGATATTAGTAGGGAGATTGCCAGTGCCTATGGTAGAGAGTGTGTCGCTTTTTTTCCACTGATTTGAGCGCACCGTCGCGGCAGACCAGTCGAACTTTACGCACGTTTACAGCAGCGGAGGGGAAGACCAAAATGTGCGTACGATAGGTACCTATAGTAGAAGGGGAAGGAATATGTGCGTACACATGGGTATAGCTATATACGTTATGGCTGCCTCCTGCCTGAGCTCTCGAGTCGAGTCCCTCGGCTCTCAGCTATCGCTGCAGCTCCCGCATGCACGTATATACCTATATATGTTTCCAATGCGCTGTATTCCCTCAAAAAAGATTTTGTTATAAATGTTGGACAGTTAAGTATGTTATTATGTCCGGTAATATATAACTCGTTAAATAGGTAAGTATTAAAAATGTTTGTACAACTAAATATCGCTTAATACTGAGTTTTTTCTCGTTTAAAGTGACAAGTCGAATAATGATTACGTGAGTCCCGATTATTAATATAAGTTCTCGGAACTTCTCAAAAAAATTATTATTTTTACAACTCGCATAATGTATGATATTAAAGGTACACTGAAAAAAAAATTTTACATGATATATAAATACGACGTACCGTAACGTTGGAAATTATTAATTCTTTAATAAATATTTGCTTATTAAAATTTTTTCAATTAAATAAGAGCTCTTTGCTTTTATCTTAACGTTTATTTAGCAATAAAAGACTTTTCTAGAATTAAAATGTCGTTCTTCGATAGATGTAACATTTTCAATAAAAATAAGTATTTATTAAAATGTTCAGAAAAGTATTAGTTCTGCTTTAAAGTAGTTATATTTTAACTCAATTACCAATAGAGAAAAAAACTTCAACTCAAACCTTGGAGCT